ATAAAACATGTTGTTAAATATAAATTATTACATAATAAAAATCGTTCAAAGAAATGGAACATTGTTCTATTTCCATTATGAATAGAGAGAACAGAAAAATAATTTTTAATGATAAAAAATGCATTTATAAATTCTTTCATTAATTCTTCTAATTTATTAACGTTTTGATGAGATAAATCAGCAATGAAAATTCCATTGTTATTAACTACAGGAATATTATAAAATATATTAAGTACACTATTACCAAGAAATGGGATGAGTGTAAAAATATTTTTTTTTAATTCTCTTGGAAGTGGTGATTGGTTGTATTTTTGCAATGAATTTATAAGTGTTTCAATGTCATTTGTTTGATACAATTGGATAATATTTGAAAGTGATTTTGGGCAATACTCAGATACCCCAAAGAAATTGATTTGTTTAGACATTTCAAATTAACTTTTGTAAGTTCACTAAGTTCTTTTTAGTATCTTCTTTATTAAAGTTTAACTATTTTTTTATAATAAATTTATAATAAACTTTCTTATGAGGTGTTGTGAAAAGATAAAGGTAAAACCTCAAAGTTGCAAAATTCAAAATGATAATAAATGAGTTTAATAATGCTATATATATCAATACATAAAAATAAAACAAAAAAAAGAAAAAAGAGAGGAACTAAAAATATGTAATCTAAAAAAGAGTTGAGAAATGAAAATATTATTTATTTTAATAATTTACACTAATGCACTAACTGTTTTTGAAGAATATAATAATAGATCAAAACAAGCTCAAAGAGAATTGTTAATTGAACATTTAAAACGACAAAATTCATTAAGGCTATTAGGTAAAATTGCAGGAAGTTCTTTATCTTATAATGAAATTATGCAGGGATTAATTAAACAAAATACAATTGAAGCTCAAGAAGGAAAAGTTAGTGAAAAAAAATTTAAACAATTAATTGATGGTCGTAATAAAGAAGTAGAGCAAAAAAGAATGGAGTTATTACGTAGATTAGCTCAAAATGAAATAGATTCAGATCAAGCTAAATTAAATGAATTAAAACGATCAGCATTAGTTGCAACTACATCAACAAACACCATTGATTTTACTGAGCTTAAAAAAACAATAGAAAAAAAGTGGAGAGCTCAAAGAAAAGCACTTATAATGTTAGAAAGAGCTCGTGATGCTAAAAACATTGCTTTATTAGAACAATCTAAAAACCAACAATCTCCTTCATACTCTAGTAAAAAACGAGCTGAATTTAATTTTAAAATAGCACAAAAAAGAAATAAAATTGCAATAAAAGCTATTTCAAGAGCCCAAATTGCTAATCAAAAAGAAACTGTGTTAGTTGTAAAAAACAAGCAGAAATCAAAAACTATGCATTAAAAAATGCTAAAAATGTTTTAAAAGAAACTTCAAGAAAAATTAAGAAGTTTAATATTGGAGATGATTTAATTTAATATCAATTATATTTTATGTTATCACTTAATTTTTTTTACTATGTTAAAATATTACATTGGAATAAATTCTATTCCTTCCATTTTTATTTTAGTTATTAATTTTTCTTTCATTAATACTTCTCCTGTTGTACTTATCATTCCCATATATGTTTCACTTCTTCTACCAACTTCTACACTCTTTAAATATACCAATTTATTTTCATCATGAGGTAAAACTTTGATTGAACTAAACCCTTTATTAAAATCATATTGAGGATCATTTATTATATGAAAATGAATAAAATCTTCAGTAGAAATAATATAAGGACATCCACGGACCTCATCTTTAATATCATCATACCTCTCTTTGCTACATTTCCTAGGAGCAAAATACCATTTGTTAACACTAGCTGAATATGTTACAGCTTCATGAATCATATACCCTTCTCCATAAATTCCAACTGCATTTTTTAGTGAAGTAAATTTATTTTTCCAATTGAGTACAGATACTTTTCCATCAATACTTATCTGTTTAACATATAGTGGATTGTCATTTAAATATTCTCCTCTTGGAGTTGTAAATTCTTTTCCAATACTTCCTACATACATTGAGTCCTTATAAACTGTTGCCCATTCAATTTTCATTCCTTTATCAGAAAAAAAATCTCCATCTCGCAAAATAAGTCGAGGATATGCTTTTTTCTTTTCAATATCAATAGCACAAACCAAACCAGTTCTATCATCAAATCCATATAGAATTCCATTAAAACTTAATAATTCACTTAGTTCCATTCCCCTTCCATTTTCATTAATTGGTAAACTAATATTAAACTCTTCTTGTTCTTGAAAATCATATGAATTGCCTTGTCTGAAAATAGTTCCTACTATAATAACAGATCTCCACATTTGACCTTCTTTACTCGCTTTGTCTAAGTCGCTTACTAAAGCAACTCGTAGTATTGGTGCATTTTTGGGATAAGACTTATATACTGGTTGATACTGATATGGATTAGGTGTTAACCTTTTAATCAATGCTATGTTTCATTTATAAAAAAAGAAATACAAACGATATATTAAATAATATAATATAAAAAACAAAAACAAATAAACAAAGAATAGTTATTCCTATAAGTACAGGTCTATAATGAAAACACACCAACCCATCGTTTTTGTTCATTGAATTTTTATATTTTTAAGTTGTTTTTTCTATTGAACAGTTTCTTTTCAAAAGAATACTTTTCTCATCATCTTTTCATCCCCATGATTAATTTATTATATTTTTATTATAAAATATCTATTTTTAGTTTGATATAATAAATTTCCGTTTTTCTTCTTTCTTTATTAACTTTCATTCATGAATTCTTTTTTTGCTCTTTATTTTTGGTCAAGAAGAAAAAAGAAAAAGAAACAAAATGAATGGTTGTCATTTTTGAAAACAAATATTTTCAATTCTAATCCAACAAAAATATGTTATGAATGAATTTAGCAATACTTATTTAAATATTGTTTTATTATGACACAACTTTTGATTAGAATAATTAACTTTTATTAAATACCATTTTAATAATTATAAAACCGATTTGAATACAAGAATATTTAAAATTAAAAACATTGAAACAAATAATTTAATTTTATTGTTTTAAGTTTCATTTATTTTTATTATTTTATTAAAAAAGACCTAATCCAAAATCAATCAAATTCACTTAAAACAAAAGTTTCTCAATTTCATCTTTCATTGTTTCAACAGATGGTGCTGATTTTCCTTTATCATTAATAATTGCAACTGCAATAACATCTCGTGAAACTCCACATGCTCTTCCAAGTGCTGCTTTTGATCCTACAAAAACATATGGAACATTTTTATCTTCACAAAGAATTGGAAGATGTAAAACAATTTCAATTGGTTGAGTATCTGCTGCCATGATAACAATGTCTGCTTTTCCTCTATTAAGTGCTTTTGTTGTTTCATTAGCTCCTTTTTTGACAAATCCATTTTGTTGAGCTTGTTGAACAAATTCAATCAATTTGTTTTGAAGCTCTTTCTCTGCAAGTGGGAAAATCTTTGAGTTAGCGTCTGACATGTATTTATCTCTTTTAATTTTTTGTGTTCTAACCCTAGGGTTTATATCTTTCAAATTCTTAAAATTAGAATAAAAAATATTATAACAAAAAAAATTATTATTTAGATATATATATTGTTATTATTATTATTTTTGTTATATATTAATTTATTGTTTTTTCTTTTTAATTTCATTAAACATATCTTTTAAATCTTTACTTCTAACTTCTTTTTTATTGTGTGGCTTTCTTTCTTTTCTTTTTTGTTTTTTTGGCAATGTTTCTTCATGAAACTCTGGTCCATCAATTTTAACAAAATGACCATCACAATTTTTTTTATGTTGTTCATACCATCTATCTGTTGGCCCTGGGGCTCTGTTCATTGATCTTTTAACGTACCCATAGAATGGTGGTTTATTTCTACAAGGACCAGTACATCTCCAAATGTGTTTATGTAAATTTTTACATTCTTCGTAGAACGTATGATAAACAGTAACATGTAATGGGGTTTTTTCATTAATAACTGTCATCCACTGATGAAACCGAACTCCATGTGAATCGTCATCCCTTGTTTTTGTTCTAAACAAAAACGCATGAATACTTTCATGTACGATAGTTGTAACAACGTCTTGAATACTTCGATATTTTAATATCCCTTCAGACAAACGAATAATACACCCACTATTTTTACCATAACATATTCCAGCACATAGAGTCATTCTCTTTGACCACTCGATGACAGTATTTGTTATATGTCCTCTAAAAATCATTTTATTAATATTTTGAAATACGTCTTGAATGTCAATAATATCTAGTTGAATAATTGACTTAATATAATCCACTGCTTCTTTAAAATGTATTTTAAAGTATGTGATATCTTCTGTTAGTTGTAGTCCATCATAATTAAACATACCAAACCCAGTAGTTTCTATAATAAAATAATTTTCTTTGGTTTTATTTAATTCTTTTAACTCATCTTCACCTTCTTCAAAATCTTCAACTCCAATTATTTCTTCGGTTGTACGAAAACAACAAGGGTCATTATAAAACACAAAATCTGGTGCTTGTTCATATTCATCAACATCAATGACTTCGTTCATTTAACTTTTTTTGTTAACTTTTTCCTTTTTTTTTAAAAGAAGTAGAACAGAAAATTCATATAATCTTTTTTACTTAATATAAAATCCTTATGGTTCTAACATTCTTAATTAATTAAATTTTGTTTTTAAACATAGGATTTAATTAACACCTTGTTTAAAAACTTTTTTCATTAATCGCGAATCAACTTCTGATATTATAAGGTTTTATAGTAACAATAAAATTGAATCATCCAAAATTAAGTTTATCAATTAAATAAAATAATACAAAACTAATACACTTAATTATTTTTCTAAGACTTTCTTCAAATAAACATTGTCTTTTTTAGTTTAGTACTCAACATATATTTATTGTGTTCATTGTTAGTTTTACTACTCTCAATAGAACTTTTATTTCTAAATAATGTAATTGTTTTATGAATTTGACTCAAAAAATAGTATTAACAACAATTAAAAAACTTGTTTCAACTGACAAAAAAGATATTGAATTATTGAAATAAATTAAGTGGAAACAGTAACGCTGAGACTCAGTTTTTAAAAGTAATAACAACAAGTTGGGAATAAGAAGGGCATCAGAATTGATATTACTAATAACAAATAAAATAACAGTAAATGTACATATTATTTTATTTTAAAAATTACTTCAAAGTAAATTTAGAGTGATTATTAGAATTAAATGTTAAATGAAATTATCCTTAAAAAAAGAAATAAACTTAGTAAAATTTAGTTGAGATTGAATCAAACACAATACCAAAATGAGTAGAGACACAATAAACATCTTTTTTTAAGGAGGAAGGTATTTCACAATTTTCAAATTTTAAATTTTCAGGCATTTCAATTGGATCAGTGATT